GAGTCCCAAATGCTCGGTCCCACCCTTCTTTGGTGTTACTCCACCCACCTGTTTCAGCACAATAGTATAAAGAAATGAAAGAAAGAAAGGAAAAATACATAACAGTTTGAAACAAAGAAGGTGACTATAATTTATAACGTTATGTAGCATTTCAGAGGAAAACTTATCATGGGAAATTCAAACCTTCAAACTTAGTCAATTAATTGTGAAAAGTCGTGACAATTCTAATCTAGGAGTCCAGTTAATTTTAATGCATTAGCCTAAGAAACCCATATTCTCAGTTTCACATGTCAACAAGAACTCATTTTCCAATTATTTTCACCAATTCAAACTCCCCTTTTGATAGTAAGAGACATAGATGTTTAAGCAATGAGAAAATGAATCTAAGCACAAATAATGCAGTACCAGTATCAGTGAAAATCCAAAAACTGTAATACAGCAAAATAATCTCAGGCGGCACTAGAATAAAGCATAATTTTCTTAATTCCGTAAATTGATTTCGGAGCTTGGGTTAGGAAAAACAAAAATAGAAGAAAGAAGAAGAACCCCAAAGACTAAATAAAGCAAATAAAAGAGACGAGTGGTGCCATATTCGATGGCTTGTTCGGTGTGGAAAGTGCCATTCTTGCCGGTGATGCCTTGGCATATGACGCGAGTGTTTTTGTCGACAAACACTGCCGGCTGCGGTGGCGGAGCCGGGGAGTAATGTCGACGCTGAAGAATAGAAGTTGACGGAGACGGAGATGGTTTGCGTGATGCGATCGAACCGATCAGCTTGGCTACGGCTTGGCGACCTATCACCTCTTTTGATGCTGTGCTTCAATTCAAGGATACGATCAACAAACTGCTTCTCTCAGTTTCACATGTCAACAAGAACTCATTTTCCAATTATTTTCACCAATTCAAACTCCCCTTTTGATAGTAAGAGACATAGATGTTTAAGCAATGAGAAAATGAATCTAAGCACAAATAATGCAGTACCAGTATCAGTGAAAATCCCAAAACTGTAATACAGCAAAATAATCTCAGGCGGCACTAGAATAAAGCATAATTTTCTTAATTCCGTAATTGATTTCAGAGCTTGGGTTAGGAAAAACAAAAATAGAAGAAAGAAGAACCCCAAAAACTCAATAAAGCAAATAAAAGAGACGAGTGGTGCCATATTCGATGGCTTGTTTGGTGTGGAAAGTGCCATTCTTGCCGGTGATGCCTTGGCATATGACGCGAGTGTTTTTGTCGACAAACACCGCCAGCGGCGGTGGCGGAGCCAGGGAGTAATGTCGACACTGAAGAATAGAAGTTGATGGAGACGGAGATCAGCTTGGCTACGGCTTGGCGACCCATCACCTCTTTTGATGCTGTGCTTCAATTCAAGGATTCGATCAACAAACTGCTTCTCTCTCTAGTCTAGTCTTTTGAAGGAGCTTCAGATTCTGCTCTGCTTTTATATGGGCTTAAATTTACATCAATTCATCGAAAAAATTAATATAAAAATTTATAAATAAAAAAAGAAAAACAATGGCTTCAGTTCAGGCCCAAATAAACAATAAGCACTCAGACCCAAAAAAAATAAACTAAAATAAGCACACTCAGATGACATATCGGATCCTCATTGAGTTAGATAATCTGTACAGTAGTCCGATAGTTGATGTCAAACAATTCAATTTCAATTAGCCTTAAATGCCTCTAGTAATCGGAGACAACGACACAAAGGAAAGGAAACCAATAACTATTTTCCGCTCATTCTATTTCAGCTACAAGTAAAAGTTATCAACATCAACAAAACTAAACCCATTTGAAATTTTAGAATTCTGCCAAAAACCTCCTAAATTGAGATCCACATTTCTAATTAGTTAAGAAAAATTATAGATGCGAGGAACCAAGTTAGCAAAGCATTATTCGGTGTGGCAGCTGCTGGTTCATGCATTCCAGTAACTAGGCCAATGTTATGATGGTGTTTGCACTTCCGCTTCACAGAACCTCCACGAACCATCTACTTGCCTTCTTAGAACATACCAAATTTTATACGTGCTGCAGTCAATCCAAGAAAAAAGAAGTCAAATATCAAATTTAGCATTAAAAACATGCAAACCAAAATCTAATACTCAAATACAGATTATCCATTAAATACACATCATAAATTCAACTCACCTGTAATAACTTGGGTTATTTGGTTCAGATTCATTAACAAGTTCAGCTGCTTCCTCCAGGACAGCCTCGATTTCTGCTCTCTCTCCTCCAACTTCATCTGATAAAATTTCAGCTCGCAGGACAGACAATTGTAGCAAAACAAATCTCCAATAACAAGACCTCGCTTTTGCAGCATCAGCCAAAGCCTGCCACTGTGAACCATGCACGCGAAAGTAACCAAACAAATACGTAGAGTAAAGCAGTAAACTTAAATGAAGCATCAACGAAAAGAAAACATGTTAAAGTAAATTACCGAACGTATTACAATAAAATGTTTGGGACATATCCAACTTATTCCATGTCATAAGTATTCATACACTGAACTTTGTTAAGATAATACTATTTAAATAACAATATCAAATATTCAAAAACCTCCACAAATTATACCTGAACAAGCATTGACTGATCAAGGATTTCACAGAGGCTATCAATTTCATGGCTAGGCCCCAGAGCTTCAGCTTTAATTGCTTGCCATTGCTTCACAAGGTCTTCAGCTTCTTCAATAGACATTAGCCTCCGGAACACAGCTGTCGAAGAAGACAAATATGAAATTTGTGGATTTTCGGCATCTGAGCAGGTCCTGACCTGCTTCATAAAAGTCACCAAAAACTTCTTAAGCCTGCCAGATAGTCCATTTCCCTTGATATAAGCAGGTACTAGACTAGAATCCACAGATGAATCAGTTGTCCAAGAAATGGAACTTGTGTGCGTATTTGGCTTACTAGGGCCCCATTTAGAAGCACTTCTCATCTTGTTTCCCTTCATGCCTGTTAACCTTAAGGAAGCAAAAACAATGCACCCCAGTACTGCCACAAAAGTGATCCTTCCCACCAAAACTCCTCTAGCAACCCAACCATTCCAAACTTTGTCATGGTGCGTGCCAAGATTCCTTTTCAATTGAACAGATGATGCACTAGCACTGCTTCCACTGCCAGTCTTGCCCAATATCAAGGGACTCTGAAGATCAGTTGGAGCCAGCTGCTTAACAGCTGCTCCAAGATGTTGAGAAGAGTTCATATGGGAAAGAGACTCATCGAAATCTCTCCGCTCTGACACGAGAGTAGTGGAAATTGGTCTGTGACTTAAAATAGGCAAATTCTGTGGAGCTACTTTGCTTTTCTTGCTCAAAGAAGTCCTCCTTTCACCACAAAAAAAGTTGGCCTGCAAGGGCATACATACATACATAAACCCTCTGGTAAAGTTAAAGCTATTATCCTTTAACAGTCCATTCTGGTGAATCTCACCAACGATGGAGGGCAATCTCGTGAGTCTGGAAACACAACAAGGACAGCATCCTTCAGCCACATTTCCTGATCAAGTTCAACAGGCAGTCCGACATGAGAAAGTATTCACCTCTAAAACAAACATAAAGTTTGTAGTGAAATAAGTAGCGTGTGAAGTGGCACAATATAGAACACATTGAACTTTTCAGGACCTTCCCATTACCCGATGTTTCAAAGTAAAGATAAGCATGCTCCTAATGACAGCTAAGATGAGAATTCCAGCACACAATAAGAGATATACCAATGTTTGATTCGCTCCAAAAGTATGCTTAACTTCCTTCCCTGAGATTGGATTTCGTGCAGCAGAATCTGAATTTAATTCAAGCTTCTGAAGCTTTTCAACAACCATAGCCTCATTACCCTGGAAACCGAGGTATCACCAAGTATTCCATTGAGGAACACAAGAGAAGGATTGAATAAGAAAAAGGAAAAATAAATTCATAGTTTCTGCAAGATATCCAAAACTATTCTAATGAAACAGCACAAGAAATAAAATTAGGAGGAAACTGAAAATTTTACCTGACCAAGAAGGAACAAGCAAAAAGTTTCCTCAAGTTTCAGATCAGTACCCTCTGATGCAATCAGACACTCGCATATAGTCTTTGCTTTGTCAATCTGCACAACCGTATTATAAGGGATGAAATTAACAAAATGGAATATGCAGCAACGCCCTCTGCCCCAAGTAAGAGAGAGAGAGAGAGAGAATTTGAAGATTACTATTTCAGCAGGCTTCATGTTCAAAAATAATAATTTGGACATAGGAGCAGAAAGAATTTACCAATTCTTTTTGCTTGCTTGAAAACCCCAGGGCAATATGAGCTATCAACACCATGTAGAAACAATTAAAATCAATAACAACCCTTTGATTCTGTGATTCAAGTGATTTCTTATTCTTCCTTGTAATAGCTAAGTCATCCCATGGAAGAAGATCAACTATCTCCGAAGCCATTAGTCTATTAAATGCTTGGCTCAAGAAGCATGGCCAGTCTTGAACTCGACACGATGTTTCCAGACCAAGCCCCTGTCTGACCAATTCACGCAAGGCTGCAATTGCTCCTCTTCTTCTTTCAGCATTCTCAGGTGAGTGAGGCATGCCTAGCAATTCCAATGTGCAAGCAGGTGCAAGCTCCTCCAAAGATTCTTCTATCTATAAAACATGACCAACATGTGCTTACTTTAGGCCAAGTACAGGCATGGAATAAAGTTAAATGATGTCTAACAGAAATTTGTCACATTTTAGAATTTTCAACCACCAAGTCAATCTGACTAAGAACAACTTAATTTCTCAACATTTGGTCCGCCATACTTTGTTTTCTTATGTAGATATATGTTCTCTACTTTGCAAAACAAACACTAAGATACAGTCAGATGATTTGAATTCTAATTGTTCCATTTCAGAGCGACAGACCAGATGCCAATTAGTGGATTGAACCAGTAAATGTCATGAAAAAATATCAGATTAAAAAAATTGACACAAAAGCACATAGAAGATGAGAGATCACCTGAGATAACAATGCTATTTTCCCAAGAGACTTTTTACTCCTTAGAAGACTCTGTGCACGAGCGAGAGCTTCAAATCCTTGGGACACCTTGTTCTTCTCAAAACCAATCTTTGCAGTTCCACACTTCAAGAAAGCACCTTGGATAAGAAAAGGAGGCATAACAATGCTGAAACAAAACAGACGGTACAATATCCTGACCTCTTTGCTGATATGCCTTACCTCCGCTAGTGCCATAGAAAGAAGAAGATCATGAACATACGGCTTGGCATCTGGATGCTGAACAGCTACACGACCAATATCTTGCACAAGCTTAACTTCTCCAACCTAGAATGAAGAAATCCGATATCATTATACCCACTTTCCAAAACAAAATCCTTTCTTCCCTTTTTTTTTAAATTAAACAAGAAAAAACTATTCTAAAATATTACGAATAAGATAATGTTACACACTTAATAAATGCAATTAGGCAACGTGTATCTACAAGAGGAATCCACAACGAAAAGTATGGGTGAAAAAATGAGTTTCATGACAAACTGTGGCAATCAAATTCTGGAAAGAATTCAATCCCTCTTAAATTAGTGTTTAACAATATTTATTTTTCTTTAAAGAAGAAAAAAAGAGCATGAAAGGCTGAAGGCTAAACACTAAGCCACAAAAATCTATGTTAGACTAAGTAGATTGTACAAAGACAAATATGTACCTCTTGAAGGAGGCAAAGAGCACCTGGCAACCAAGCCCAAGGGATTCGCAGGGAAGATTTAGGTGGGATCTTTTCCTTAATATTACCAGCATATTCTGGTTCAAAAAGAAGCTTATCTCTCACATCCATTAAAAGACCCTGCAAAGCAGCCCACAAGAGAAATAATTTAAAGATGAAATTAAACAACCTAGCAGAAAGCTCTTTCCACCTGGTATATCTACTACATATAATAAAAAACTTTAAAGTCTCAACCTGGCGAGATGCAACAGCATCCATGGTGTAACCTTCTTCAATTTCAGCACTCTTCAAATCCATCACTGATTTAACAACCTCATCTTTTTCAGCTTGATCAGGAACGCCAATAAGCTGCAAATTCATTACGTTAGCATTAAGTTACTAAATGCAGAGTCAGACTAACAATAAAGTTCAGAAAATACAGATATGTTAGCGCAAGATTCACATAAACATCACACAAATTGCACAAACTAGACAAACTCTGATAACTTGATTATGCCACTTCAAGTGTAAGGATGGCAGAGTTTGTTCAACAGTTGAAGCTCTTGAGGACAATGTTAAATATGGCACTATTGCAGATGATGCTACTAGCCCGCAGACTAAAGAGCGACTCAAGTGACTTGCAGGATCCGGAGCCAGAACAAAATGCAAAAGGAGGCGGAGGGAAAGCAATATTATCCCCTTTTGATTTTCTCAGCTCCAAACCAGAATGAATACAAATTTAACAAATAATCAGGATTTAACAAACACGAAGCCCACCAAGATTACACATTACAAGTAGGAAGAGAAAGGATTTTTTTTTTTAAAAGAGAAAAATGAAGCAATGACCTGGTAACAGGTAATGGGAATTTCAACGGTGGTGCGAGGTGGAGCGGTCTCCACAATGTGGGTGTCAACTGCATTCACAGTCCAGCGACCGGTGAGATTATTATTATCCTTCTTCCAGTAAACCCTAGAAACACCGATTTCATTATCACTTATTTCTCTGGAGAAACCCCAAATGCAGACCTTGTGATCTTCCTTGAGATTACTGATTCTGCAATGACAACAGGAAGACGAAATGCTTGGAAAGGCGTGAGACAAAGCAGCCATGACCACAGCCGGGCTGGGGTCTGGTAGTGAGGCAGCCGAAACTTGGAGAAATTGGCCGGGTTAGGGACTGAAAGAGTGCGGCCGGATTTGGAGTTGGTGAAGTCACGGCTGGGCGTTGGTGTAGTCATGCATGAACAATGTCAAACTGCAAATATATCATCACTCTTCCATCTGTTCTTTAATAAAAACAGAAACTAACCAATCAAAACAGACCTAGCATGCAGCATAACCTATTTATCAAAAAGAAACATAAACATAATGAATACAGCAGCATAACAACAGAATAGCAGCAGCAGAAACAGAACCTAGTAATTTGACAGAACCTAATTGGTAGCAGCCCTAATTAGAATAATTTAACAGAAGAACCTAAATGCTAGCAGCCCTAATTTGTATAATGAAATTAACAGTTCATAATTTCTTTGTCAAGTTCAAATAATCATCACAACACAGCATAACCTAATTGGTGGCAGCCCTAATTCGACAGCCCTAAAACCTTAACAGAAAAAATATATCATCACATCAACCTCAACCACGAAATCGACAAGCCTAATTTAAAAGAAAAAACCCATAAATTTAATTTAGAATAAACCCTAAATTCAAAGGAAGATGATGCTCTCACCTTTGACTGATATGAGAGAGAAACCCACAGAAGAAATCGCAGGAGAGGAATAGATGTTGTCGGCGATCAGAAACTGAGACTGAAAAACATAGAAAAATCGAGATAAGAAGTGAGAGCAAAAAGAGAGTTAGCGGAGCAAAGAAGCGACGGGGAAAAAATAGAACAGATAAGAGAGAGAGAAGCTGACCTGCCGCTGCGTGCAGGGATGGAGGCGGCGCGGTGGCTGATCGACTGAGAGTGAGAGGATCGAAGTAGAGAAAACAGAAGAGAGATGGTTGTGGTGCTATGCGAGGATTGAAGATCTGAGGGAGTCGGGTCGAGAGAGAGAGGCGCCAACAAAATTTTGGCCAAATTTGGAGGGCCAATTTGGCCATTTAGCCCTCCAACCAGGCCACATATAGCCCAACTTTGAACTAGGCCAATTTTCTAGTGGGACCCATACATGTGCTTTTCAAGAACACCTTAAAGCATGCTGGACCTTTTTGAATGTTCCAATTCGTAATATATGAGAAAAAGAGTATAAAAAATTGTTGGTAAATGACCATTGGGTCAGACCTACCCCACTCTCTTTTTAAAATAATAATAATAATAATAATAATAAATGGGATCAGACCCTCAAATCTTTCAGAGCAATTCCACCAGTTGCCCTTAGCCATGGCAAGAGGGGGTGCTAGGGCAGCCACTATTCATATGAATAGTGGCTGCCCTTGCAAAAAGCAATGTTGGTTTCCAACAGTTGCCCTAGTTTAGGGCAAATACTATTCATTTTTTTGTTTTTTTCACATATTTGTTTACCTAAACAATTAATTTGGACAATATGTTTTTAAAAGATTTTTGGTGTGGGAAGTGAAAAATATGACTAAGTATTTATTTTTTAAAAATCTGAATTTTTTTGTTTTTTTTCGATTTTTTTTACTTTTTTTTGTTGCTGACGTCATCGATGACGTCAGCTCCCCCGAGTTTTGGACCTGGGGCTGGACCTGCCCTCGGGCCAGCCCGACTTTGTAGACCCCACCACCAACTCGGGCCAAACCCCACTGCTGGAGGCCCTTTTTCTTCCAAACCCCCCCTTGCCTCAGTCCAAACCCCACTGCTGGACTTGCTCTCAAGTGTTGTTTTTAAAAAAATTATAAAAAAATCTTGTTGATGATCGTTGGAGATGAAAAATTGAACCCATCCTCTTTTTTTTTGAAATGTCTTCACGTTTTTAGATGTTTTGTGTTGTTTAAAAAAATTATAAAAATTTTTGGGTCATGACCGTTGGAGGTCAGACCCTTGAAACCATTCCATTTTTTTTATTTTTTTAATTGCCTTTGTTGGCTTTATTATTATTAATTTTTAAAATTTAAAAACCTAAAATTTGTCTATAAATACCTCTCCCACTCATTTCATTCCACATTTCTTACAAATTCTATCACATTCTCTACTTATTCACAACTTTCCACTCTTTCTTGTTGTCAAATATTATACTCATTTCCTACAAATTTATTTTCTTTACACTCTTTCTTGTTGTCTCTAAATAGTAGTTTAATTAAATTAAACAATATATAGTTGTGGAATGTATGAGTATTGTACCATAGTTTTGATCGGTGCATATTTATATATCATTTTGTACCCTTCTAACTTATGATTTGATTATGTTTTTGAGTTAAAATTGTGCTTTTAAAAAAAGTTTGTTTCAGTGTAATAAGCTTTAGACTCATTAAATGCATTTTGGAGACAAGTTAGATCAAAACGGTGTCTGCAGATCAGTCAACTTCACGAATTGGAATGTCCTTGCTCAAGAAGAACCAGATGATGAGCCATATATCATTGGAAAGATACAGAAATCTAGTTTCTTGAGCATTTTAAGGTTCATGATTCCGAGTCTCCTAGAGGAAGTTATGCAAGTTTTGGCAGCTTAAGGTCAAATTCGGCAGCATCTGCGTTACTGGGCCAAAAATGACATTTGAAGGTCTTTTTGATTTTTTCTTGAGTTGGGCTGCATATGCTTGGAAATATAATTCAAAGGGTTTGAAGATCCAGATTTTTCCAGATTTTGTAAGAGGGAAGATCAAGCCCAAAACAAGCCCACAAGCTTACTGCAATGCATTGTCAATTCCAGTCTATTTTTCAAGCCCAAAACAAGCCCACAAGCTGACTGCAATGAAGTCAGTTCCAGTCTATGTTCGGCAGTCAACTTGTAAGGCTCAAAACGTACACTTATACTGCTCAGATGGGAATATATTCTTCATAAAAGTTGTTCCAATAGGTGTCTATTATGACATATCCAAATTTGAGCACCATTGGATATATATTGAAACCTCAGGCCTTCCTACACCAAGCCTGGTTCAGAAGAATCATTTTTTCCAGCAACCAAAAGAAAACCCACATGGGTTGGCAGCAAAAGGCAGCCACAATTATGGTCATGCTGACCTCAGGATGAGCTATTGTTTCTGGTTGGAAGCTTGGTCATGGTGACATGAAGATGAGCTAGGGCTGCTGGTGTGATTTATTAGTGAAGTGCATCAACCATTTCAGATTTTATAAAACAAGTGTTGTATGCATTAGCCATACTTAATTCAGATTTTCAGCTTCTTTAGGCCTATATATAGTGAGGTTTCCCAAGCTTGTAAACACACCCCAAGGTGGGAGCTCTCAAACACTTCTCTAGAGCTCCCTTCCCTTCTCTCCCTCAAATTCTCTTAGTTTCTCTTTCTAGTTTTCAATTGTTGTAATGAAATCTTTGTGCTGAAATTCTTCTTAAGTTTTTCTTAGTTCCACTTTACTTTTCATTGTTATGTAAATTCTTTTCTTTAGTTTCAAGTTTGATTAGTTTCCAAGTTTCAATTATGGTTTTTGTTCTTATTCATTATGCTTATAAGTTAATATGCTAGTTTAAATGATTGATCACCATTTAGGCTTGCATGTTAGCTATCCTGGTTTGAATTAAGAGTAGACACCATGCTTTAATTCGAATTGAACTATAAATAGGAAGAGTATGTATGGACATTCGACAACAGGGATTAGATACATACTTTGTTGTTTAAAATGTTCTTCTATGCTTAATGGATTCCTAATGCTTAGTTTAGGTTAGAGAACAGATGATCAAATTAGGGAATTAGGAATACAAGGTTAGGACCAGACACCATGGCTTAATCATACTTTAGCTAGAATCAATCCGTACATCTAATTGAACTTGGGAACTTATCTGCTTGAGTTATTTTCTTTTCTTTCTTTCTTGTTTTATTTATTTTCTTTCTTGTTTTTCTGTTTTGTGTAGGAAAACTGAATTGGATTATTCAATCACCAATCCTTGTGGAATCGACCTCGCACTTACATATGCTATACTACCGAACGGCTCATGCACTTGCGAGTATCACAAGTTGAGGATGCAGCTGAATCGACACAACAAGTTTTTCTCAAAATAATAAAATATGAAGGGTCCTAAAATATAGCCCTGCATGGCTGGAGATGGAAAAATTTAGCCCTGCACTATTCTTTAAAAAATTAATATTTTGGGGGGCTAAATTTTTAGCCCTGGACTACATTTAGCCCTATTGCTGGAGATGGCCTTAGGTCAAAAACGAAAGGAAAAGTGAAAACATAAGAGAGGAGAAGACTAAGTGAAAGAGAGAGAGAGAGAGAGTCGCGTGTGAGGGTTACAGGAAAAAAAAATTGACTTAGATAAACCTTACAAATGTCAATTAGAAATACTCACTTTGTAACATGAAAGTACCCTATTACCTTTCATATAAATACATTGTGTTCTAAATTTCCGCTCCAGGCGCCGCTCCAGCCTCCTATTATTTGCTTTCTAACTGTAAGTCCTCTTCTTCTCCGTCTTCAAATTTCAGTACTCCTCCATACCACTGACCTGAACCACCTACTTCTCGGGTTCTCTTCTTCTTCATGTCATCCAATTTCAATTTTTTCTTTCTAAATTCTACTTTAGGGATTTAGGAATTAGGGATTCAGTTGAGCATTTAGAACTTAGGGGTTAATTTTCGAAATTCTAATTTAGGGATTCATTCAATGCCTAATTTATGAGCTGTGGCTTTATGAATTATCAAGTGGGTCACTTGTTTCTAATTTATCATTGATAATGGTATTATTGTAGTTTTTAATTGATCTTTGCATATTTCAGATTTTAGCCATACAATTTTAGTGGCTGGGCAGCTTGCAATTTTGTGTAGACAGGTTATTAAATTCTTCTAGTATTAATGGAAGTTGTGTTACTAAATTACCAGTACCTACGCTCTTGGTTGACATGGTTGTTTTGAATTGTAAGATTAGCTTACTATTCGATGGACCAACTTGCTGATATTAGGAAATGGAGTTATTAATGAAATGAATGGGAATGTGCTTGTTTCTTATGCTATTAGATTTTATGTGAGTGTGATGCTAATCAGCCATTGAAATACACATCTTTTAGTGTTAATATTTGAAGTATTGGAACATGAGAAAGTTGAAAATAGGCATCTTCATGAGATGCTTGAGCAAAATTTGAAGTATTTCAAGAGCATTAAGTAGACCTCCCTTTATATGGCTTGCTATAAAATGTTTATAAGTATTACTTTATAAGCTGTTTTTTAGTTTCATTGTTCTGTGTATTGCTGTTATGGATTTTGTAGTTGTATCTGGTTCTGTATTGATGTTATGGATGTCATTTGGTTATATTGATTATTGGTTGGTTGATTGATTAAGTTCACCCCTTGAGGTATTTTGATGTCTAGTTCTGTCCCTCTTATTTAGTTTAACAGTTTCTTTGTGCTTTATGTGTTCCAGTTTTTCCGATTTTCTCTTGTTGGTGTTCTAGGTTAGGAAGCTCTTTGCCACTTAGTATGAGTTTCTTAGATCTTTTAGTTTCTGATTGTGGTTTTCTTGTCTCAGTTTCTATTTTGTTTTTTTTAGTCTTTGTTTCTCCTTTTTGCTAATTTCTTGTTTTGCCATCTCTTTTGCTGGGTTCTTGTTTTTTTCTTAAGACAGTTGGACCTAGATTTTTGACTTATGGAAGATTGTTGTCATTGAGAACCATCATCAATTTGGCATGGGACAACATTCCATTCTGTCACAGGAAGTGTGCTGTAATTATATGGAAAAAAAGCATGTAATTGAGGAACTATATCTTTTAGTCATGTAATTTAGTCCTCATTCAATGAAATTGAGTTCAATTTACTTAAGAAATTTCAGTCTTGAATCTGTTCTTTTTATATTCGCAAGTGTGTGCAATAGAAAAATACTTTTTTTTTTTTCAGAGAACAATGGAAAAATACTTTTACTTATATTATACATTGAAGAGAGAACATTGTATGCATTGTGTATTTTGCCCTGTATTGCCCCCCATTAGAGGGACTATTCGAGTTTTTTTATTGCCACTGTAT